ACGACATCCCTAAAGCTGGCCAACAAGGTCTTTTCTCCTAGTTGAATATTCCTTATGCCAGACTCATTCCTAAGGCTGATAACCAAGGTCCAGCTACCACAGTATTGAAATACAGCAACCAAAAGTCCCCCTTTGGCCACCCTAATTAACACACCCAACCACAACATACCACCACACATTAGCCCGTTCTAACACAGACCCGCTCCTTTTTCCTCTTAAAACCACACCTATAAGGTCATTCGCTGCTGCTTTCTGCCAGAGTCAAAAAGCATCTACTTGACTCTTCTTCCCGGCTTAATAAGGCTCCCTCTGAAAACAGGTGTTTGGGTGTAGTTTGTGCCTAATCCTGGGTGCAGAAGGGAGCACCCCGCTGTGTGCGGTTCCCTTCAGGAAGTACAGGGTAAACTGGGTACCTTACAGCTTGGTAACATTCAGCATAATTGACAATAACAAACAGTATCCTACATGAAGAAAGGCTTATTTTCTGCAGAGGCATCGACAAGCACAGATAATTCCTTCCAGATTTTCTTTTTTTCTGGAGACTGAACTTACAAGTTGTATTGGCAAGTCAGACTAACTCAAGAAGTCAAGCGGAAACGCTTCCTGAATCTTGTATGCGTTAAATGTCTATAGTAGTCCTTAAGAAGAGTAGAGAATTCAATCCCCGCTAGGGTCAATGATCCTCTAAAGGGTGCTGGAAAAGACAATCACATATTTTAGGAACCATTAACTTTGAAGGTCTTTGGTACAGAATGAAAAGTCATGTAGATTGAAGATTTGGGTAACAGAGAAAACCTGAATGAAGTTTGTGGTCCAGAAATTCATCTTTTCCCACTGCACACAGCACTGATGTAGGCCTTAGTGTGTGGTCCTAGCAAAAACCCTACCTCACAACTTTGGGCTAACTGGAACTGAGTAAATGGTTCTTTGAATGGCGACTGTATTCTTCGGACGATGAACAGCCATGTAATTCTGGGAAGATTTAGAATTAAGTCCAGAAACAGTTTAAGAGCTGTGCTTTAGAAAGCTATGTCTCCTCCAAAGTTCATGCAGAGAGTTCATTTACAGAGGAGGAGCACTGCGAGGAGCTTTTAGGGGGTTATTAGGCCACCATGGGGGGAGGGGCACTGCCCTCACGGATAGGATTACCGCCCTTATAAAGGGATTTGGAAGAGGTCTGCTCCCACATCATCCCTTCTATCCGTTTGGCTAATGAAGACACAGCACGGTATTTACCCTCATTACGTATGCAGCGAAAGGTGCCATTCCGGAAGCAGAAAGCAGCCCCTTCAGAAACCATAACCTTGAACTTCTCAGCATCTACAAGTGTAGGAAGTAAATATCTGTTCTTTGTTTTCTAGACAGGGATTCCCCGTGTAGCCCTGGCTGGCCTGAAACCAGAGAGATCCGCCTGCCTCTGCAGGGATTAAAGATGGGCAACATCACGGCCCAGTAATATCTGCTCTTCATATGCTACCCGATCTTCCATAATCTTAGCAGGCCATACGGACTACAGGGACTAAGATAGGAAAGACTTAAGATTAAATATTAGAATACTTAAGAGGGACTGGAGAGATGGCTCAGTGGTTAAGAGCACAGGCTGTTTTTCCAAGGACCTGGGTTCAATCCTCAGCACCCACATGGAGGCTCAGAGCAATCTCTAACTCCCATCCAAGGGGATCCGCCCCAGCACCCACATGGAGGTTCACAGCCATCTCTAACTCCCATCCAAGGGGACCCAACACCCTCATCTGGCCCCAGGCATACACTTGGTACACTGGCACACAGGCAGGCAAAACACGCATATATAAAAATCTTTTTTTTTTGTTGTTGTTGTTGGTTTGGTTTTTCGAGACAGCGTTTCTCTGTGTAGCCCTGGCTGTCCTGGAACTCACTCTGTAGACCAGGCTAGCCTCGAACTGAACTCTCGAACTCAGAAATCCGCCTGCCTCTGCCTCCCAAGTGCTGAGATTAAAGGCGTGCACCACCACCGCCCGTCTATATATAAATCTTTAAAAAAAAAAATAGACTTGAGTTTGGAAACTATAGTTAAAAGGCCTCACTGAGAAGATGACATTTTTGAGTGATTGATGTCCACGGTAGGAAAGAATGTGTATCTTTGATATTACTCCAGGCAAACCAAACAGCAGGTGCAAAGGCCAAGACATGAGCAGGAATGGAAGATGGAGAGGGATGGGTGGGGAGAGCAGGCTGCTGTGTGGTATGTCTGTCATGCCAGCTAACTAACCCCAGGGTCTTGGGAAGCTAAGGCAGAAAGAAGACCAAGACAAAGCTGAACAAAACCCTAATCTCCTAATAAAATTAAAATTTAAAATATAAGAGGCCCAGGGAAGTATCTCAACAGTAACATTTGCTTAGCACATGCAAAGCCTTGGGTTCAAAATACACACCCAGACACCCAGACAGACAGACAGACAGACACACACACCACGGGGCCTTTGGATATATTTTGGTAAGATGTGGAGGAGACATTTAAGGTTTGGAGAGGGCTGGGCACATGGTTTAGTGGTAGAATATCTATGTAACATGTACGAAGCCTTGGGTTCAATTTGGGTACAGAATTTAATACCAGGTGTGGTGATCCATGCCTGTAATCCCAGCATTTGGCAGGGGGGTGCAGAGGTCCAAGGTCATCATAAACAACATAGATTTAGGGCTAGCCTGGGCTACATGGAACCCTGTCTCCAAAAGAAAAAAATACATAAATATATATATATATATATATATATATATATATATATATAAAAAATAGTAAAAAAGAAACAAGGGAGGAATTTTTAAACATTATATTAACCTCTTTGAATATTAAAAACTATAATTATGCCATTTAAGACACAGATTTGCCTAGTGCATCCATCCCAGCACTCCCAAAGTGGAGGAAGTAAGAATATCAAAATTTCAAGTCTAGCCTGATGAGTCTGCTTTAAAACAACGAATAAATAGGTAAACAGAAGTGAGATTTAAGTGATAAAAATCAGCAAAGGTTTTGGTACTTGGAGACTGCTCCAGGACGCTGCAAGAACAGGGCGCCTTGGGGGGCTGCCACTTCTCAGCTCCCTCCTAGGGATGAGATTCCATGGTTAGGCTTTTTCCTTTGCCAGGTAGAATAAACAGCCTGAACCGTTAGCCGTCTCCTAAGAAACTAAGTGCAACATTTCGTCAAAGTGAAACCACTCCATTTACTAAAGTTCTGCTAATATAAAGACTTGTAGGTGTTGGCGGCGTGTGCGGTTAGGTGCCCGCTAGGTGTGAATCCTATTCCAAACACGTCTCGGAAAGACGAGGATTCCGGCTAACCGCACGGTCAAGGGCGAGTAAGCGCGCCGGGGCGCGAAGGGACCAAAGCAGGCAGTGTCGCCAGGTGGGAGATGCCAGGGACATTCTGCCGGGAGCCAGCTGGGGCTCCATAATTCTGCCCTCGGTTCTAAGCCCGGAACTGTCGCGTCGTGATGGAAAGCCAGAGGGTGGAGGGCGGAGAACGCCGGGCTGCAGCGCCCCGCGCCCGACGGCTGCAGACACGCCCGGCCCCGTGGCGCCGCCTCGCCGCCGCCTGGAGGCTCCGGCGCCTTCCCGCCTTTCCCGGGGCTCGGCCGGCGCTGGCGGCGGGGCGGGCGCGGGCGGCGACGGTGCAGCCATTGTCCCGCAGCCGCGCCCGGGGCCGCC